CCTGCACTCCACTTAGAACTAAACCAAGAATTGCTTCTCCTCATGTGGGTTCCAGAATCAGCTGCTCCCAGAAGCAGTCATTTCAGGAGTCCAGAAGCTATATCTCTGCATCCTGCCCTGATGTGACACATACCCAGTAAATACAGGAAGAGTTGCAGTCCCCCATTATTATTTTTTTAAGTCTCTAATCTCACTTAGCATTTCACAGTCACTATCACCATCCTGGTGAAGTGATTGGTAGTATATCCCTACCGCTATATTCATATAATTAGAGCACAGAATTACTATCCATAGAGCTTCTATGGTACAATTTGGTTCATTTGATTCTATGATCTGTTTCATATATAGTGCCACTCCCCCACCAGTATGACCTGTCCTATCCTTCCATTATATTTTGTACCCTGGTATCGCTGTGCCCATTAATATCCTCATTCCACCAAGTTTCTATGACACCTATTATATCAATATCCCCATTCAATATGAGGCACTAGTGTTCATTCATCTCATTATTTAGACTTCTAACGTTTGTATATAAGCACTTTAAAAACATTACTTTTTAGCTGTCTGCCATTTCATTGAATGAGACACCCTTTCATTTGACTGTTTCTCATCAGATCTTACCTGTATTTTATCGTCTTCCAGCCTCTCTTCTTCACTAAGATAGAAACTTTCCTAAGGGATGTCTCTGTCCAATCCATGTACTCTTCTTCACTTGTCAGCTTTCTCCCAGCCCTTAGTTTAAAGCCTGCTCTATGACCTTTTTAATTTTAAATGCCAGCAATCTGATTCCATTTTCTCTTAATTTAATTTTATTCAAGACGCTCCATTTAATGACTATTTTATTCAAAAGTCTCGGGGTAGTTATGTTAATGTGTAATTTTTAAAAGTGAGTAGTTCTGTGGCACTTTAAGAGAACAAAAATATACTGTATAGTGTAAGTTTTCATGGGCACCAGTCCTACAATTGACAGGTACTTTTTTTTTTTGCACTGTTTGTTATATATCTTGGTTTCTGCTCTTTCCACTCCAGTTCATCTGATGAAGTGGGTTTTGCCCACAAAAAACTCGTGATACTATATATTTTTGTTAGTCTCTAAGGTGCCACAGGACTATTCTTTATTTCACTCAAAGTTCACACACCAATTGGGAAATGAAAAGCAGTAAAGTTTGGTTTTATGTCCAATCTATGAATAAAAACTAGGTGTGAGAGGATGAGAACTACTAGTTCTAAAATCTAAAATTATGACTAGTATCAGATGAATTCATTAGCTACCTATACTGTACTTCCCTAGTATAATAAATCAGTTTTAAAAGTAAAGTATAGGTATACTAGTATAATAAATCAGTTTTAAAAGTAAACATGTATTGATAAATTCTCTTATGAATCCAGCACTTGATATTTTTAAATTAAATAACATTGTTGTGCATTTTATTTGAATTTCCATCCACAGGTTGATAAAAATAACCTAATTTTAGTAAATAAAAACTGCATAGTTCACCATTTTATAATGCAAAAATATAAAAACTGAGAATCTGAATAAACGTGAGTTAAACCCTACAATTCCTTACATAAATATGTATATATTAAGCGTATCGTCCTGTTTAGCAAAAATCACCAAATTTAGCTCTATTTAGTTTAAAAAATCAATATATTTTAATAATTAACAAACAAGAATCAACCTCTTTTTAGGAAAATACCTAAAAAGTACAGATGTAAAACATGATTACAGTATTTTAAATCAAGGCTTCCTGATTTAAACTTATTAAAATTGATGCTTTAAACCACTGATTTAAATAAATGCAGCTTGCAAGTATTCATTTCTTGGTGTAGTCATTTTTAGTGTGACTCTAGATAACTACATACCATTTATGAATCCACATTCTGCCAATTTGGAATTTTCTCAGTTTTTGATTCCCTGAATGTATTTGCTGCCCACCAATTTATTAGATTTAGCTACTTCTGAAACTCAATCTACTTGCACTTAATTTACTTCAGGCAGCAAAATAAAGTATGCTATTACTGTAGTCTGATCTACACTACAAACTTAGGTGAATGGAAGCCATGTTAAGTCACTCAAATAATGTAGGTGACTACACTACCGTCCCTTCCACCAACCTAAGTTCACCTTAGTCAACTTCTGTACTCCACCTCTGTGAGAGGTGTCACGCTTGATTCCACATGCATGGGTCAATAGGAGAATATTGTAGATGCTGCAATGAGTAATTTGAACTAACTGGCCTCCAGCAGGTGTCCCATAGACATAATGCTTGCTATAACCCACTCTGGAGAGCTCTTTCAACTCCACTACACAGCAGTCAGGTACACAGCAGAGTCCCTTCTCTGCTAAAACCCAGAAACTTTTGAATGTTCATTTTCTATTTGAACAGCATGGAGAGCTCGCCAGCACAGGTGATAATGGAGACTCAGGGTATGTCTACACAGCACTGACATTATTCCAAAATAACATAATCCGCCTCTACACTACAAGCAGTTCTTTTGACAAAATGTCAAAACAATGTTGAGCTGGAGGACTTATTCCAACTCCTGTAACCCTCATTGTACAAGGAGTAAAGGAAGTCAGAGGAAGAGTGCTCTTCCTCGGACTTCTTGCTGTGTAGACAGCACCAAAATAAGCTATTTTGACTTAAGGTATGCAATCGATGTAGTTCAAGCATGCTCCACACTACTCATGTTTACCATACTATGACTGTACCCTCTATCACTCTTGAAGGCCTGTAGTTAAAGAAGAATTTACACATACAGGTTTGAAGGTTCACCATATATTTGCAAGTAAAATAAAATAGATTTGACAGAAATAAAGATTACAAGATATGTACTGAGCCCTTTGAAGAATCTGAAAGTAAACAAGTCAATTTATTCCCATTTAAAAAAAATTTGAAACACCACAATGGAATATGCACATTACCAAAACATTTTATGTTCTCTAAAAGCTTTGACTGCATACATCACTTCCAGATGAAACCATGATTTTTTCCCTATAAATGTCAGTTTGGTTACAGCTTCAGGAATCAATGCAGCATAGTACACATTTCATTAACAGGTAAAGATGGATTCAGGTAGGTGCAAGAACATTCTGCAGAAATAATTTAGGAAGAAATCTGAATGTTTCCTCCCACAAAAAAGTGCTGAAAATGTATGAGACACATACTGGAAAGATACACAAAGTATGGAATTCTGAAACAAGACAAGCGAATATTAATAGTGTATCACAGCTTAAGAAAACTAAAGTATATCTCAGTTATATTGTTACTCATTAAAGATATTTACAGTCTCTGAATTATGTTTCTGTAGAAAAACTAAGTTAATACAATTTAGTCTCCATTTCTGAAATAGAAATATTTTTGCATAAGGACGAAGGTAAGATTTATTGCCTAAAAATACTTCCTCAGAACAGTACATTTTCCTTTTGTTCTGCAAGTTATTGTTTCCTATGAATCAAGGTATGAGAACACTGATTTATTTCAGTTATCCTTTTGAGCATATTCCCTTATTTATTGCCTATCAGGTAATATTAAAGAGTGCCCCTGTTCTATAAGCACTAATTACCAAAGTGTTTTCCCCCTTTCAATGTTTATTTCCAAGCAAATCACACTTAATACTTCAGTGCTTTATAAAGAAAATAGCATCTTTGTTCAGTTTACAATCACAATCACAGAAATTATGTTAATTGCACTCTTTAGCTAGTTGGACACAAGATTATTGCTTTAGATTATAATTTTGCTGAAAACAGTTAAAATGTACAGATGGGAGACTAGTGCAATATCCAGCATTGACTGTTTATTCAATAAATACTTTTAACCCAATTATTGCCACCCAAGGCAAACAGTGCAGAAATTGTCACTTAATAAACAAATATCTATATATAAATTTAACAATCATGGGTTTGTTGTTGTTTTTTTTTTTAATAAAATCAGTTCCTACTCTATTCCCATACAATTATTTCAGAGGGTTTTTTCCCCACATAAAAGTTTACTATTATAAAAATATAGAAATGTCAACATGTTTAGGATTTTACAAATCTTCACAAATCTAACTTTTACATTTATATAGGAATATCATACTTTGTAGAAAAGAACTTAATAAATGTCTCTGTTGGAGACATTTTCTGCACTGACCATTTTGTAACTTAGTTACAAGCTTTCTTGGTTGTGAGTACATACGCGTTTAAAAGAAAATAATCCACATTACACTTTTAACTTGAGGTCAGCTGTGTATAAAGAAAAGCCATTTTTACAAAGGTGTTCACAGATTGTTGGTCAGAAATTTTTTCACATGAGCATATTTAAAAATAAATTCCAATCTTTACCTAAAAATACCTTCTCCTAATGTGAAATAAACAAATTAGTGTTGTTTTGGAAATAGAATCAGAATAACAATGAATTTCCAGAAAAAAATGTTGCTTAAGTCACCAATCAAAATTTAACAATGCAATTGCCAATTACTATTTCTGATACTTATAAAATATAAAAAAGTAAGAAATCTTAAAATATTTTGAAAAGATATATTTTTATAACTATGTGAAAATCTCACTACATTTATGCACCAAAACCAATGACCTCTATATTTTTTATGTGGGTGTATGAGCCTGCACAACTTTTGCAAAATCCCACTCTAGTCGGTGGGAATTTGCATGTGTACTGGTTTGTCCTCATAGATCGATTACACATTATTGGAGCTATAGTCACTCACTGCGTTGGTGTGTATCCATTAATGCTCTTTCCAAAAATCTTATTTTAACTCAGCAACTATTTTCAATAGCACCATCAATTTCTCAGATATCTGTGCCATGAAAATCCATATAGTATGCTATTGGTTTGTTTATTCCTGAAACAGCACAGTCATTACAAGGCACAGCTTTTCAAAAATAAATGCAAAATATTTTTTTTCCAAATCAGTGACCTTTAAAGTATGCATGTGTGTTACATTGAATTGACATTTTGTATCACTGCATAACATGGTTAGAAAAAGCTAATAAATGTCAATTCAATGTATCACTGCATAACATGGTTAGAAAAAGCTAATAATTTGATGGAATTAACCAAAATATATTTATCAGTTTCATGCAGGTTATTTTCCCATATAAAACCCCCCAAAAATGATAAAGTATCCCTATCAAACAATGTAGCATGGTTGTTAAATAAAGAAAGCTATGCTGAAGTTTTCCAATCTTCAACAAAAAGTCTACTCTAGACATGACTCAAGTATAAGAAGTTGGAAAATTATCTGAATATTTGCCACAATCTATCCCTGCAGAAGTGTGAAAACCTATTGTCTAGAGCATTCATATCGAGGCACATTGTAGTTGAAGATACTCAGGCAAATGTTATGGCTAGAATAGAATTTCCGAAAAGTCTAGTACAGGTTTCCCCAAAAGCAGCTCTTTATGGTTCAAAACATCAACTGCAGCACCTGAAAACATTTGGTCCTTAGTCACTGCTATCATCATCGTCGTCATCATCAGATACATCATTTATAGGGGATTTAGGTGACTGGCTGTAAGAGTCCGATCTAGTGGGCTGGCAAGCAGTCATCTCTCCAGTAGAAAGAAGATCATAACAGAAGTCACAAATCCGCACAGGCTTGGAGGACTGGTTGGGAAGAAGAAATCTCTTTTCAGAACAGGGTCCGCATACAACAAAACCACATTTGCGACAGTGGTGACGACGATTGACAGGTGTAAATTTTGCTTTCTGGCAACGCATACAAACAGTAGCCTCTGAGTCAGGTACCCAGACAGCTGCATGTTCATTACTGGGAGTCTTCCCACTTTTAGAAAGCAAATCTGAAACACATTTATTTATGTGGCTCATCCATTCAGATTTCTCTGTGGCAGTGGCAGCATAAACTGCAAAAGATTTTGTTGGTGTCTTGATAAGCCACCCATTCCGTAAGTCCCCCTCATCTTGGATGGAATCAATAGTGACATTTTCCAGTGGAATTATGTGCTGTTTGTTGTATTTTTTCTTCTGGATAACAATGTTCCCATAGACAAGAATATCATTGAATAAGAAAAATTGTCTTGCTTTAGGTTTTTTCCTACACAGCTTTGTTAACACTCCTTCTCCAATCAGAACACGACCAGGAATTGTCAAAGGTTGACCAGCTGCTCCAAAACAGTTTTCCACTATGCTTATTCGTCTAGTATTTGCTTCACTGTTTGCCAAGCGATCCACCATCTTTTACAGGTATTCTAAAACAAAAATTAATATTTTATTAAAATAAGGCTGATTCACAAAAAGTATTCTATAGCCAAATCATTTAGTAAAACAAATTATTTGAAAAAGATAACAAGACTGATGGCTCAGGGCACAGCTAACTGAATGCACTTTTTGATTCAAATCCTCATCAGGTCAGTAACAATTAAAAGTTTCTATCACCAAATGACTTTTTAGTATCCTACTTGAAAGAAGGGTGACCTGTCTAGTTCCCAAAAGACAGGTGTGACATCACAGAAACCACCACCATAAGTTATACTAAAAGCAATTTTATTGATATTAGGAGAAAGAGAAGAAGATTGAGTTCTACTCCTTATACCTCAAGGTGATCCTTTGTCCAGGTAAGGGTTAGTGCCCATTGGTAGAGACTTGCACAGCCATTCCTGAGTTGTACCTGTTCTCTAGATGGTATTCTGGAACATCTGACTATTCAAAAGTGACATACAACTGATAATTCAGTTTCCAAGCAAACCTAACACTAACAGGAACAGATCAGGGACACACTAGCATAAATATTGTTAATACAGCTAGCTGTTATTAAAATATCTAGTATTGTTATAATGTATATAATATCTTACACATATATAATAGGGAGAGAAAGAGAGTTATGTGGGGGTGGGGGGTGCAGGTGAGAGAGATTACATACAGTCTTAGTGATTACATGCACTGTGGGCTCTGTAGTATAAAGCTTTGCTTTATATTGTGGAGCCTGCAGTGAAGCCTCCTCGAGAGCAGGGCTGCCAACCCCTGCCAGCCTGCCCCTGGGGAGGAGCAGCAGGGACTCCAGGAGCCACTGCATGTAACTTGTTAACCTGCCTGTGGTGGCCCCCATGGACCTGAAACAGCCCCTTGTTCAGGGTGGGCAAGGAGCTGCTCCAGTCCCTACCAGTCTACTGCAACCGGTAAGTTTCACCGGTTAAGCAAGTATTGCAGTTTGATACAGACAAGAAAGGCCTCCTCAAAACAGGTGGAAAACAAAACCTGTTTTCCTCACAACAAAGAGGCACTGAAGGGGGAGAACAGAAAGCCCCTCTTCTCTTTCAGCTGGTAAAAAGTAGTTGAGTAGACATTTGTGGACATCTACTAGCCAGAGATTAATATAAAAACCCTTTGCTAAATTGGGCTCAAAGACAGCATACTAGCAGAAATCTTTGCTTCTGTGGCCTGGGCTTTTCACTAAGTCCAGCCCCTGCTTCCTACTGGAAGGAGAGGGGACTCCTACCACAGTAACAAGTTAATAAATGAATGGTACATCACAAGAGGTTTCTTGGGATTTATTTCCATTTAACCGAGATTCTTATAATGCTTCAGTGAGTCATTTCTGAGGTTTAAATATTGCAATAACTGCTCTTATGGCATCTCTGGGCTAGTCTATACGAGAATCTCTACAGCAGGCATCTCAAACTCAATTTACCTTAAGGCCAGTGCCAATCCTCAAATCCTTCTGCCGGGCCAGCAAGCACCTCCTCTTCTTGGCAGGGCTCAGGGGAGGAGGGGGTGTCTCCTGGCTTTGCCTTTTAACCTGCATGCTCCCTCTCCCCGTGTGTCCCACCCCTCTCCCCCGACCCTGCCTGCTACTCCCAGGTGATTTAACCCCCCCCCCATGGGAATCAGCACCACCACCACCACCACCACCAACAGTAGGACTAGAGCAGCTTCTAGCTCCATGCCATCTCCAGCCATTGTGGTCCAGGGGAAGTGTGTGCAGAGCCGTCCCTTCCCATAAGGCAGTCTGGGGCATCTGCCCAAGGCTTCACACCTTGGAGGGCCCCCGTGATGGTTGCCCCAAACATCCTATGGTAGAGATGGTCCCCCATACTCAGGTTAAACTGTAGGGCCCTGAGGATGTGTCCATACTGCAAAGTTAGTTATTTCAGAATAACAGCCGCCATTCTGAAATAACTATGTGAGCATCTACACAGCAATTCTGTTAATTCAAAATAACAGGCAGCTTATTCTGACTTCTGGAAACCTCATTCTATGAAGAATAACGCCTATTCCAAAATAGCTATTTCAAACAAAGCATGTGTAGATGCTCCACTTCTGATATTTTGAAATACCCCCTCATCAGAGCCATTCTAAGTTATTCCTCCTGGGGCTCTAAATCGAGATAGCATGTCTGCACTAAGGACGCCCGCCTCGGACTAATTTTGAGGCTTCCCTGCAGTGTATATATTCTATTTTGAAATAAGCTATTTCAGAATAACTATTCCGGAATAGTTTATTCCGAAATAACTGTGCAATGTAGACATAGCCTGAGGGGGCTGGAGCTGACAGCAGGGGTCAGGAACCCCACACTCACCAGAGCAGTGGGAGATCCGGGAAAGTAGAGCGGAACAGCAAGCTGCTGTACTCCACTGCCATCTCCTAGGCCAGGATGGCCACTCTGCTTCACTGCAGCTCTCATGCCACCAAGGGGTCCTAAACCCTTGCAGTAAGTACTCCTCTATCAATCATGAGAAGAATTCAAAAAGTAAGTACTAGTAGTGTTTCAAACGAAGGGATCAGCTTCACAACTGCCAGCATGAACATCATTTATTGTCTGTAGAGGCAGTAGCAAGAACAAGATTGCTTGCTGCCCGACTATACTTTTCTGAGGACAGCTAGTATTGGGAAGTGATGTAAATAAGGTTTGGCACCAAAAAGTCAGTTATAATTGTTAGCTGCTGACTCAAGCACAAGATCACCAGTCCAAGTTGTTGACTATTGAAGAACAGGATAAATGTCTTGTTTGTGTAAGAATTGTGTAACCACTCTTGCTTAATGGTGTACATGTAATAAGAATTTTGTGAATGATTAGATGCCAAAGCTGAGGCACAATCATTCCAAGAGCCATGTATTAAAAGCAACAGAAGTTAGTTACAGATCTGGTCCAAAAGGCATCTACGGAGTTCACTGATAAACGTTACTAAAGCATAGTCAACTTGACACAAAAGCTATGGAAATGCACAGAACAAAACTTGATTCTTCCATACATTTCATAGTTTGTGCCCAGGTGGCTGCATACTTACCTAACCCTCTGAAGAACACAACAGTTTCACTGATTCAGTTCACAAAGAATTAAGCAGATCTGTAAAAAAATACTTCATTCAACTACTTGGTTTTTTGGGTGCAGGTTTACTAGGAAAGCTTTTCATGGTGATTTGAAGAGAAAATGCTAATCAGGGTAATTAAAAATAAAAAAGGAAACTGTATCAGTTCCAGAATATGGATGCTAGAGACTCCACTTACAGCTTGCAATTAGACCACACAATTATGCAGGAAGTTCTATGGCTTAGTGTTATGCAGGGCAGCAGACTAGATCCATTGCTGCTTTGGGCTGGTGTACCCCGGCCAATGGAGAACTTGTTTCTGATTAGCTGGCCCAAACAACCTCCACTTCCTAGAGAAGTTGGAGAGGGTCAAAGAAAGATTTCTTTCTGAATGAGGTAACATCCAATTCAAGTGGCACCAGACCCTGCCATAACATAAGCAAAACCTGCAGGCATATCCCCTTTGCTACAAAAATCAACACCCTGCCCCAAACACACCTGTCAAGATCCATGTATCGTACACACCAGCCAGGTGGAAGAGAGCATGGGGCCTGCAAGGCCCCGGAGAGGCTCCCCTCCCCACTAGTGGCAGGCAGAGTGCCAGGCACCAAAGCTTGTCCATGTGCCCCTCCCTGGTGGCCGGAGGGGGGGGGGTAGGGT